TGAATGTTTGTCTGTGATTTGTGCATATCGAGATCCTCGTGGGTTCCAACACCTCCGTGCGGACCAAATCAGGAACGAAAGCTGCAAGTCTCGTGAACTCCCTCTCGTACTCATCGACAGTACGAGTACCCTGCTGGAGCGATAGAAATTGGCGCTCCATCTCTGCTCGGTAGTATGTGGGATAGTACTTCTCACGGATTAACTGTTTGATCATCTCCCACGTACATCCCACCTTCTCACCGGGACGCATGCTCTAGTAAGCGTTCCACCAGAGCCTGGCATTACCGGTGAACTGAAGCTGTGCGCAAATGACGCGATATCTCTCAGGGCACTCCATGACCTCGAAGATAAACTCCAGGCCCTGAATCCACTCATCAACTACGCGAGGATCTCCCTGCCCTGAGAACTTTTCGGCATGATAGTCGTGGAACTGGGCGACCACTGTAGCCTGAGTTGGCGCCATCTGAACATTGAGAAGATTCAAAATTATTGAATACTTGATGATATTCTGACTGATTTTTAAGGCACACAAATCTCTTGACGAGTCGCCAAAAGTGGCCAATAATTACTGACATGAATTCTGAGGAACTCTAGAGTCATACTGAATACACTGAATTCTAGGGTTATATCTGAACTCTAAAGTCCGAATCTGATTCGAGCGTCTTAACTAAGTCTGATTACTGATTTCTGAGCATAGACGTAATATGTTTATAACTGAAAAATTGAATCAGCACTTACCTGGAGTCGGCGAGGCGTTAGCGTGACGGTTCAGGTTTTTCTGAAAATTACTGACTGAAAAACTTTTCAGAGACGCAGAAACGTGCTCTGATACCAATTGTAACACCCCGAATTTTTACTTACTATCAGAGTACGCGATTTTTCGCAATTTGATGAATAAAATACTTAATTTTGCGAAAACTGATTCGGGATGCTACCGTGAAAAACTTGATTTTTCTGAAAAACCGTTAAAATTTTAAACTGATAAATAGAAACGGTCATAACGTCTTATCCGACTAATGTCGGAGCAAAGTCTGATAATAAGTACTGAAAAGTTTTCGCGGAAACAAAGCGTGGCTAAATATAAATACAATAATCATAAATATCCTGAACAGCTCGCCCGCTCACTCCTCGTCTCCGACACTGCGACCTGAAAAACATGAAAGGTGTGGGACGTGAGCACTAAAACACCTGTGCTCCGCAGAAACTCATACTAATGTAAACATCGTAAATAATAACAATATCATGAACTAAGCATATACAACTGAACTGAAATTAACTGAAACTGATATCTGATACTGGTCTGATCTCGCGACATAAGTCATGTAACTGATAACTGAAATCTGTCGGCACAAACTAATACCGAAATCTCCTGGCACAAACTAATACCGGACCATGTGCACACTCTAGTGGTTAGATTAGGCCACTAGAACTCAGAATGGACCGGCGACCATTCCGAGCGGATACTGATTATACATACCTTGACCATGGTAGCGTAATTATAAACAATGTAGTACTTAGTCTGAGTCCCCACCTGAACTGCTGAAACTGAAACTGAATGGCAGTGCTGATGCCTGATCAAACTGAAAATAATATAAACAATTACTATTGACTATGCTCAGATTGATAATTTAACTGTTTAATTATGTTAAGATGCTCTATTGAACCTGACATGACATTCGGACTTATTCGGTATAACTGAAACCGGCTAAGTACGAAACTGAGTTGACAATAATTATCTGAACTGAACTTAACCCCGAATTTAACTGAAAATAACACTGAAACTGAAAACCGGGACTGAAACTGAAAATACTGACTGAACCAGTCCAACCGGTCTGGACCGGACTGCCAGTCCACTGAACCGGGCATTCGGGCTGGATTGGCCGACAGCCCTGCCAGGTGCTGCGCACGCGGGCGCTGGCTGGCGGCTGCGGGCGTTGGCTGACGGGCTG